ATATAATAATAATAATAATAATAATAATAATAATAATAATAATAATAATAATAATAATAATAATAATAATAATAATAATAATAATAATAATAATAATAATAATAATAATAATAATAATAATAATAATAATAATAATAATAATAATAATAAAACATTAACTAAAGAGCAAATAAAGACAAAATTAAAGTGTATCAACACTCATTTAATTTTTAGAAAATTAATAAATTTCTTTAGTTTATAATAATAATAATCATGCTAAAGTTCTGAAAATTAGAAATACATGTACATGTTCCATAAAACTTGTAATTTTAAGATGCATAATTTAACTGCAATACTGTATAGTGAGTGGATGTACATGTACCTCTCCACAGTATTCGCTGATGAATTCATTCTTCTCTGCTCCGTCTTTTAAGAAGATGCCCCAGCCAGCAACATCTGATGGAGCCATCAGCAGATGCTTCTTCTGACCTCTTTGTATGGACACGTTCTTACACATAGTGAACTTCATTTCAAGATTATCACCTTTAAAAGAAAGAGATAGAGTAATAGATTGTACAATATTTTAATAGGGATATTTTAATTTTTTATATGTAAGAAAATTTCATACTCAAGCTTACCATAATAGCTGGTAATTATACCAGAAAAACTTGGGTAAATTTGACATTTTGATAGCCACTTTTAAAAAAATAAAATCAACCGTTTTAAACCAGCTCAATGGCACATGCCCCCATACAAATTACTAAGAATACTTTGCTAAAACTTCCTCCCTCCTAATTGCTACTAGGTATTTGTATTGTATTGGTATTGTCTCTCTCTCTCTCTCTCTCTCTCTCTCTCTCATATACCATATAGTGGGAAATTTTTAAGGGAATTAAATTTGGCAAATTTTGCATTTTGATAGCCATTCACCAAAATAAAAACCCACCATTTTAAGCCATTATATGTATGCTCAATGGCACGTAGCCACAAATTCACCAAATTAAAATTTTACCAATCACCAAAATTTTGCAATTCGCCAAATTTAACTCCCTCCTAAATTTCCCGCTATACGGTATACATGTACATGTACATGTACATTGTACCTGCCCCACAAGTACTGCAGAGGTCAGGGTCATACTTCCTCACAGCTAAGAAGCAAGGACAGTGTTTAGTGCTACATGAAGAACGACACCTACAACCTGGAAACCTGTTAGTACCTGTAAAGAAAGGAGAGTACACATGTAATGTAATATTTTCTAATAAAATAAAACCATCAACACTTCAATTTTATATTACAGAATATATTGTTAATAAACTATTATCAATATTCACATATACATGTACCTGGGAATTTTTACTGTGATTTTAATTTTATTGTATTAGAACTTTGCATAAATTAGATCACCCATATAATTACATGCCACTTTCAATAATACATGACACAGTCTCATTAAATAAAAATTAAATCACAGGACAATTTAAAAACACAAACATTTTCTACCACACAAATTTCCTGATTTACGGTAATTATTACTAGCATTAATACATGTACATGTAATAAGCAAACACAAACATCACAGTAATATGTTAATAAACTATTATCAATATTCACATACTGTACAAGATGATTCATTGGTGAGGAATTAATATTGGCAATTGGCAATTCGATTGGCAATGTAAAATCCACTATTTTGTTTTAATCTGAGCATGCTCAATGGCACATAGCACGAAATTGCCAATATAAAATTTGTCAATTAACTTTCCACAGGCAAATTCTCCAAAATTTATTCCTCATTTTGTACAGTAATTATTACTAGTATTAATAATAAGTACACACACATCACAGTAAATAATGTCAGAGTCTAAGTACTGTAGGTGATGCTCTCATGATTATTATTAACTCACAGTCAGGGTTACAGTTGCAGTACCGTACAGAAGGAAATTTTGGAGGGACTAAATTTTGGCGAATTGGTAAATTTTGGATGATTGGCGAATTTTAATTTGGCGAATTTGTGGCCATGTGCCATTGAGCATGCGCATAATGGCTCAAAATGGCGAATTTTTATTTTGGCGAATGGCTATCAAAACGCCAAATTCGCCAAATTTAACTACCTCCAAAATTTCCTTCCATACGGTATTTCTCACAGAAGTTATTGGAAGAGACACACTGGCACTCCTGGTCACAAGGTAGTCCTGGATGATAGCACGGCTGATAG